TTCAAGGGCAAGGCTACCTGGACTTCTGCAGAAGCCCTAGCACATGGACCAACACAGGTCCCTCCTCTGACTGCACATGAAGTACCATTTTTTGAGGCATGGTTGATGGAGAAAACCCTGAAGGATTCCCTTGATCCTAATACTCAAGTAAAGGATCACGCTGGAGAGCCCTCTGATGCAGCTGCAACCTTTGCTCTACTAATTGCAGAATGGCGAAAAGCTCAGCTTAATAATTTTGAGGTAATAGTTCCTTCACCCCTTCCTTCTCCTCAACATCATGTTCCCACCCCACCTGCCTCACCTATTGCTGATATTCCATCCCCTCCAAAGGAGACCACACCCATTCCCTCTCCTCACACTTCACCCATTTTACCACATCCCTCTGTCTCACCTCAACAGAAACCCTCTTCCAAACCATCCTCTCCTAAATCAAAATCTCTTACCCCACAACAAAACACCCCTTCTCACCAAAAATCACCAACTCAGAAACCCAAATCTCCTTCACCTTGCAAACATATCATCCCTACACGGAACAGATCATCATCACCTCCTCCATCTCCCCAGCATCAACTTACCAAACCCCATCTCAATACTCAGCAGAAAACCCCCATCTCACCGCACTGTTCTCATCAACAGAAGATCACATCTGCTGCCCCTCCTCAACAGAAGCCCACTGCTCCTCAAACTCATATCTTGGAGATTAGCTCTTTTGACCCATCAACCTTTGCTCCTATTCCTGCACCTCAAGGTTACACCAGGCATTCTAATGCCTCTAACCCCCCACTGCATAAAAAGAAACAAGTCAACAAGGATACCTTCCCTCTCTACTCTTCGTATGAAGACTCCTCCACAGATGAAGATCTTCTAGGCTGCACAGGGTTCATCTACAGCAATCCCAATTGTGCAACTTCCAACAGGCAGAAGACCCCTCCTCTGACACAGCTTGAGCATGAAATGCAAGACCAGCTGTGACACCCCGAAAATTTAAATTAAATAAACTAGGTAATTTATAAATCAGATAAAATTTAACATTTGAAAAAAAATGACTTTTTATGGTAAATATGTTAGTCACCAAAAAAAAACGTAAATATGTTAGTCAAACTAAATTGTGACAGAAATGCTAAAGTGATAGCCGATCTTATGTCTACAATAAAATTTAATTACTCACACTTATATTACTATATACGTAGCATATATATATACTATATATATACACAAAAGTACGTGCGGCTGCTCTTTATAATCCATATATATTACCCCGTAATATAGTTACGCACACGCATGCAAAATATACGCATAAGCCGGATTCTAAACGGATCGAGCATCGAAGGAAAAAAAAGGGTTATATAACGGAAAATCTAGAATCATCTATTATTAGGTTTATATATATATATATATATATATATATATATATATATATATATATATATATATATACACGGTTGATAACCCTGCGTTAAAACACCTTTGAACCCTAAACCTTCGTCGCCGCCATTGAAATCGATATATATATACATAACTTATCGGGCGAACGTCGAACTGCACCAGAACAAACAGACGTCGGCAGCCTGTCTGTTAGGAGCGTAGAACGAAAGAGGAGACCGCCGCCGCGGTAAGGGGTGCCACTGTTTTGGATCTCACCGGAATATTCTGCTGGTTCATCCGGAGAAACCCATTTGTTCGTATTGTACCGCCGGACTACTGAAGAGAGGAGTCGTTGGCCCAGCTTCTGTCTGGACGAAGCGGGAGAGATATCTTCCTGAAAGGGACGTTGCAGAAAGCCTCTGAACTGGTCGCCGTAGAAAGAGCCGCCGGACAAGAAGAAGTTGAACCGTCGAGCCTTTGCTGCCACTGTGTCCACCTGAGTCGCTACCGCAAGGAAAGCTGTCCATTTCCGTCCTTGACTGCTATGTCGGCTGGGACTTTTGCGAGGGATTGACGAGGAAGACGATCACTTATTGGAGTACGTAAACATAACTCTTTGTTTTACGTAGATGTTTTAGAAACCTTTGGACTGGGGATTTTGTTTAAAGGATGGATTGGAGTATCTTATGTGGGCTGGTCAAATGAAAGACTACGTATCATTTAAGTTATAAGTTTGATAGATGTTAATAAAGATAAATTGGCTTAATCGGACTAGTATAGAGATGACTTATTAAGAAATCGTAAGAGGGAAAATTGGCTTAGTAAGTTGATGTTGATTTTAGAATCTTAACATTTTAGAAGGTGAATTTGGAGAAGATCGCGGATAGAAGATTCGGCTAGGATTTATCGCGGTTTGAGGTAAGTTCCACGTCAACCAAAATTATACTTTTTCCTCGTAAATCTATATATGATTATTTATTTGAAATTATTTGAGTACTTTGTGAGATTTCTAGCATTACATGTATACTTCATATTTGAGAATTTGGAATTATTCATGGATTGTTATTGAGAATTATATTTGAGATTTTAGTATTGGATATTGGATGATATTTTCGAGTGTTTGAGTTATCATATGAAATGTTGTAGGGGTTATATTTGAGATCTGAACTATTTATGAAATATTCTATATTTTGGCTCTTTCGTGAGATTTTAATGTATAATACATTTGAGTGTAATTTGTTGGAGTTAATATTTTACATTGTGGATTATCTTGTGGAGTTTGGATTTTGTATCCGTTTTGGTTGAGGTTGTGATATTGGTTTGGAACTTTGAGAATGAATTGTGATTTTTGGTGAGCACCCGGAGAAATCCGTGGTGTCGGTTTGCCACATCCGGATAAATGTGGTATTGGTGAGTGGTAATGGCTATAAGTCTAAATCCACCAGGGGTACTTCCCAAAAGCGGAGTATCCCAGCTTAATTGTAGTGTAGTTGGTAGAAAAATCCCGACTACTCGAGCTTCTTACTTCCCGGAGGGCTTGGAATCCCTTTTAGGGGGTGTGCACACTTAAGGTAGGAGTTCGGCTTCCACTAGCTTTGATTGGGTTTGAGGTGAACTGGACTTTGATTAGATTGAGGTGATTGAGATTATTTGATTGGCTTGATTTGGATTTGTGGTGAATTAAAGTATTGGATTGATTGGAATTGTTGGATTATTGGATTGGATTATATTTGGATTGAGTTGTTAAATTATTTGTGGGTTTTACTTTTGGATTTGATTTGGTTTGATTATGTTGAGTACTCTTTATTATCAGCATTTATAAGTATTTTGAGATATTTGGTGTTTGATTTATGCTTTGGAATTATTGAAATGATTTTTGGTGGTTTTACGTATATTTGGTATTTTTTTGTAATTTTTGTGGTTGGGAAATATTTGCTTATATTTGAGGTACTATTAATTTACTAGTGAATTATGCTATGAGAAGATTTTATAAATTGTTTAAAAAAAAAATTATTTTTCCTCCTAAATGTTTTTCAAAAACATTAAATTTTATTATTTATTATTTTATGGGGTTAGGTGGAACTTACTTAGCATTGTTGCTATTTTTGTTTTCTTTTGTTTTTCTTTCTGTACTTAATTTTGTACAGGTGACGCTTTGATGATGATGTTGATTTCGAGAGAGCTTCCGCTAGAAAACATAGTTAGTAAATCATTGTAATTCCATTTTAAATATCTTTAGTTAGTGAATAATTATTTTTGGAGTTTAAAGTTGTTTTAGCCTGTGCACTCGGTTAAGGGAGAATCGAGTGTGGCGGTAATGCCCCTATTTCCCTTTTGGTTTTCCGCTGCATAACTCTGATGTTTTCGAATAAAGTTAATATTTCTTGTGAATAAAGTATTATTTTTGGGTGGGAAATTTGGGGGTGTTACACCAGCACCTATCCTCTGTACAAGAACATCAGCCACTGCCCAAGGGAAAAGGCTTGGAGATGCCAGGATTTGAAAGTGCAGAACCCCACATTCCTTTTAATCAATTTGTTGCATCTGCCGAAGAATTTGGTGGTTAGATGCTGGATGATATGAACAAGCTAGTTCTAATCAATGACAAGCATTATGAGCATCTCACCCTTGTCAATCACACTCTGGAACTTGGGTTACAACAGCTTACTGAGAAGGTTGCATCTATGACCAGGACCTTAACCTCATGTCAGAATGTCCTTCTTACTCAAGACAAGGTCATTGTGACACTCCTTAAATTTAATAAAAAGAAGTTAATATTAACTAACATGTCATAGCTGCTAATGGTAATATGGGTATTTTCTTAACATATGCTTCGGGGACGAAACATCTTTTAAGGAGGGTAGAATGTGACACCCCGAAAAATTTAAATAAAATAAATAAATTTTACTAGTCAGATAAAATATTATGAAAGTCACATTTTAATAATCAAGTGTATCAGATAAAATATTAACAATTGTGACAACTTTAATCAAATAAAAATGTTTCAACAATAAAAGTGACATGTTATAATAATAATTATATTGATCATATAAGACTTTGACTTAAATAACAAAAGTGACATTTTTGTAACAAGTGGTAACTATACATATAACATAAATAATACAAGTGACCTTTTAGCAATTTTAATTCAAAAGTATCGATTAATATGCGTACAAAAATATACTACTACACGTACTAAATACCACACAAAATAATAATGTTGACTTTTCTAATTTGATAATAATACTCCATAGATAAGTTCAAAACCATCACAAGGATTACGCCTATCCATTTACATATAAGTAATAAAATATGAAATATACAAATATAGGTGTGGTGCATAATAATGAGTAGGTGATAATGTATAGCAATTATAGAGGAGAAGGATACAAAGGAAATCGATGTACCTAGACATGGGCATGATCGGATGAGGCCAAAAAAAAAATACAGAAGTTTGATTAGCTAAGCATTTACACATCCGGTTACAAATTCACATGGGTGATCGAATAAGTTTGAATCAAAAGCGTCGGTGCAATGTACTCGACCTCTTTAAACAATAATTGACTAAAACGTCATATGGCTGAAATTAAAGCATAGCTTCCTGATGACTCCTATATATACATGCGTCTTATACCCATTGACATGCAAAGAAAATAAAAACAAAAGAAAGAGAGGAAGAGAGTGAGAGTGAGGGTGTGAGTCGGCCGTCGCAAGGAAGAGAGGAAGTTCGCCGGCGAAAGGACCTCGGCGGCATCGCCGCTCCTTGCCGGAGAAAAAGACCCGGTTGTACGCCGGACTAGTTCACGCCAGAGGAAGTGGAGAAGCTAGAGTTTCTGCCACAGGACCTGACTGCTGCCGCTGAACGTCACAGCAACCCCCCAACCAGTCACCGTGGAGGAGGAGCTCGCCGGAGTGGAAACTCGTCTGCCGGACGGAAGAAGGAAGCTGCCGGCCGCCTGCCACGGTACGACATCGTTATTTTCGCCGGAGTCCGCTGAAACTTCTGTGCGGAGGAGGAGGACATCATATTGTCGCTCGTATTGTCTCTACTCCCTGCATCGCCAGAACTGTTTTTGCGGAGAAGACGACGAAGCGTACGTCTATCTTACTCTATTATACACGTAGTACGTTAATAACTATTGCATGGGCTGGATCTCTTTCATTTAAAATAGTCTGAGCCGACTTCGTAATACCTAACTGGGTTGCTGGATAATATAGGTGGACTCGGTATTAATCTGATTATCAAGCTGGCCGAAATTATTATGGACTAGGCTGTTGATTTAGTTGACCAGAATGATTAATATCAATAATAACACACTGGGCTAGATATATTATTATAACTGCACTACTTCTAAATTTAGTTTAGACCGGACTGAATGTATGGACTGAACGGAGAAGATGACATTTAGTGATAAATAAATTTTGACACAAATTAATGTAAAAATAATAATACTACAAGTTCTGAGAGTTCTCCTAAGTTATAAATTGAATATCATCAATTTAGAGAACCTGATGATACTACGTACTAAAACTTGATGATATTCAAGTTTAGAGAACCTGTCACTTTTAAATCGGGATAATTAAATGGAGTAAAAAAAAAGTATTATTGAAATAAATGAATAATCATAAAAGGAGTAAAATTTAAAACTGGATAATGATTAGCAAAGTGGGATAGTTATTAATTAAAAAAATTTAATATTCTTAGAAGGTGATTTTGGTGAAGATCGAGGTAGAAGCTTCGGTTAGGATTTACTGCAACTCGAGGTAAGTACTATGTCAACCAAGTTTCATGCTTTTCCCATATAAATTTATTTTTGACTAGTTATTTGAGATCATTTGAGTATATGATAGTTAATGAGATTTTACGTATCAATTGTGATTGTGAATTATATATATTCGAGATTTGAGTATTTTTATATTGGGTGATATAACATATGAATTGTTATTGGATTGAGATTTGAGATTTGAGCTATTTATGAAGTATCTTATATTTTGGACTATTTATGGTATATTTGAGTATGATGAGTTGGAGTTAATAATTTCATTATGAATAATTTGGTGGAATTTGGATTTCATATCCATTTTGATTGAGGTTATGATATTGGAACTTTGAGATTGAATTATGATTTTGAGTACTCGGAGAAATGTGGATTTGGTGAGTGGTAATGGCTATAAGTCTAATTCCACCAGGGATCTCCCAAAAGTGGAGCATCCCAGCTTAATTGTAGTAGTCGGTAGAAAAATCCTGACTACTCGGACTTTTTACTACCCGGAGAGCTTGGAATCTCTTTCAGGGGGTGTGCACACTTAAGGTAGGAGTTCGACTTCCATTGGATTGGATTGAGTTTGAATGATTGGATTACGTTTGGATTTAATTGGACTTTGATTCCATTGGTATTGAGGTGACTTGGCTTTGAGGCTTTGAGGTGATTTGGATCATTTGGTTGGACTTGATTGAGGTGAATTGAATTATATTACATTGGATTATTTGAGCGTGTTATATTTTTTTTTTGGATTGGATTGAATTTGAGATGGTTGAGGTTATTAAATTATTTATGGATTTCAAAAGTAATACTTTTGGATTTGATTAAATATAAGTACCTATATTTGGAATATTATTATTATTTTACATGTGATTTGTGATGAGAAGTTTGTATAAATGGTTTTATAAGGTTTCCTCCCAAATGTTTTCACAAAATGATATATGTATCAAACATGATTATTTTACAGGGTTGGGTGGGCCTTACTTAGCATTTCCAGCTAATTTTTGTTTCTTTGGGTTTTTCTTTCTGTACTTTATTTGTGCAGGAATTGAGGATCATGTTGAAGTTGATTTCGAGAGCTTCCGCTAGAACACATAGACTAAAGTGATTTGAGTAATTTATTTTAGTCTTAATTTTAAAGAATTGTAGTTGAACAATTAATTAATTAAAATTTTAATTGTTGGTGGTGGATAAGCCTGTGCACTCGGTTATGAGAGAACCGAGTGTGGCGGTAACGCCCCATTTTCCCTTTGAATTTTCCGCTGCATAATTCTGATAAATCATTATTTAAATGTATTTTTGGGTGGGAAATTTGGGGGTGTTACAGTCATCTCTTCTATAGTCTCTTCTGTTGATCAATTGAAGATATCTGATGCTCAGCAGACAGCGCAGCTCAACAGAATTGAGACCCTCTGTTCTGACAACAAAAAGGCTGTTGACAGCTTTATTCAATTGGATAAAGACCGATACAATAAGCTGATCCAACTTGAAAGCCATACTCAGACCATAGCTAATGATGTTGAGAAACAGAAGAAGCTTCTTGACTCCCTGGCTGAAGTTACCACTGTTATTCCTACTGCTATCGAAGACTTAGGCAAAGCTCATGCCTCTGAATTTGAGAAAATCAGCCTCCTTCTTCAAGATCTGAATGATGCCAAAAGGGGGGAAGAGAACCCTCAGTCTCAGCACCCCTCTCAACAGTTGCAGCTTGCCAGAACAACTCCAGGCCCTACACCTGACCCTACACCTTACTTTGAACAGCTTAGACTCAAGAAGAAAGCTGTTACTGGCTCCTCTGCACAGCCATCTATTCCCGCCCCTCTGAAGAAAGGTACTAAGAAGAAGGCCCTGACCTTCTTAGATTGGAGAAAGGAAGGCTCTCTGAAGATCACAAAAGAGCAATTTGAAGAAATGAAGCAAAAGATGACTCCCACACAACAGCAACATCTCTATCTTGACAATGATGGCCGTGTGAAAGTCAGATATGGCGGATCCTTAGAAGAAGCAGAATACTGGTTTAAGAAGAACGTCCTCCCTGGGAAAGATGTCCATGAAGGTATTCTAAACTATCTAAACTGCAAACTCCCCCCTATCTGGGCCTCATGTCAGACACCTGGAAACCTCAGTGGGATCAGAGTAGAAGTGAATAAAGAATTGAAAAGGCTACAAGAACTGGAAGATGAAGCTATGGCTGCGGCAACAAGGGAAAATCTGTAAGGAAATACCCTTGTAATCCTTATGTCAATAAAAGAACTTCTATGCCTTTCACTTTGTAAGGCAATTCATTCCTACCTGTTCTTAATTTCCTTTATGCATGTTTATTTTCTCTATTTTTATTGCTATCTGTATGTACCGTACTCTTACTATTTTCCTATGCTAAGATGCTCACCAAGATTCTAATGAAAATGTTATACTTTAAATCTTTTATGGTGAAGGCACTTCTCTGGAAATAGTTAAAGGATTTTGGCATCATCAAAAAGGGGGAAATTGTAAGGAATAATTGTATTTAGATTTTGATGATGCTAGATTAATTAGAACTTTAGAGTACCCCCATTAGAATTAATGTATTAGAATTTTTCTAAGTATAAACTTTTTAGAATAGTCGACAAACAGAAGACCCTCAAGCCCTCTGATTAGATGTTTGCATCTCAGAAGTACTCAAGATATTCTGGACAGAAAGACCTCATGGCCCTCTGTGATCTGCCCCTCTGTCAACTAATTCCAATAGAAGTGCTCAAGACCTTCTCCTGTTACCCTTCGGTTAAGAACATCAGAAGGCCTAACACTTAGAGATTTACTGAATCCAACTATGCCGGTAAAATCAACGGAAGATTCTCTCAACGGCTAGCTCATACTCAACGGAAATGCTACAGGACTGCATTTAATGCTCATTTAATGAGCTTCATACTCCGAAGAGTAAAAGCTAATGATTGACCGAGATTCTTGGAAAGCCTATCCCAAAATAGCAAGCCGCCAAACTTGTGGGCCCAGCCGGTCAACTCAAACTGTACGCGCATTTAATACAGTTGTCTCCTCCTCCAACGGGAAGACAACCTCAGTATAAAAGATACTATTCGAAGAACAACCGAGTAACTTTTGCCACAACGTGTGCTCTAATTACAAAAAGCCTTCTTAAGATTCAACACTCCAACTCCATCAACAAGAAAGGCCTACGTTGGGAAGATCATAAGTTCATATATTCTTCATCACCAACAAGGGCGAAGTTCCTATTGTTCTTCAACTCTTCAAGCACCTCATTACAAATCTATTGTGACGAAGCAAGTTGGAGAAAACTCTGTTTTCAACAGAACATCTTCTTCAAGGAGACTCAGTGAAACAAGACCAGTCTTAAAGGAAGCAAAGAAGTGCATCCCAGGAGACATCTAGACTTTAAGAAGACGTGGAGAGCTTCTTGAGTTCTAGGGACTAAGGCGTTGTAATCGTTGTTTTACAAGCTTAGTGGAACAGTGGATTAGAGGAACGAGTTGTTCCTTGAACCACTATAAAAATCCCTGGTGTCATTTACTTACTGCTTTTATTTCCTGCAAACTGATTAACTCCAAAGAAGTGGTATCTGTGTTCAGCAGAACACCTCTGGTGAGTTAACAGAAGGTCAAGTGCCTTTACTCCTCTGTGAGGCTATCCCGACAGAACACCTACCAGAAGACCTCCGCTGCCAGTCTGTTCTCAACAGAACAGGCTATTCTGTTTACCTTGGTACTTGAGTTGAAAAAGTCAAAAACCATAACAGTCTATTCACCCCCCATCTAGACTGTTACCTCATTAACCGGGACCAACACTTAAGAATCTTGAAAATATGGGTTCCCGATTCTGACTTGATAAGCTCGTATCTGGAGGGTTTATTACATGTAGGAAAGCCAGTAATGGCTCCAGCTACAGGTCCAGAATTAATTGACAATTTCTCTTTACGTTCCTCGTCGCCATAGGTTTGCGAATCTTCCAAGGAAGGTTTCTTCTGAGTGACCAATTCCTGCTGCGACTCTGGTAACTCAGATAGCGATTGCCAACTGGGGTCTTCTGTTCGTGTAGAAACCATAGTTCCGGAAGAAATTTCTTGCGAACTTGGAGGAGCGACTTGATACGAAGAACGCGAACTGTGGGATTGGACTGACAAGGAGGAATATTCTCCTCTCAATCGAGTCTTTCTTGGACTCGAGTTGATCGCAGGTGAGTAAGTCTGCGAAGGGTAAGAAGAAGTTCGCGATTGCGAACTCAAAGAAACAGATCGCGATTCAGTCTGCGAACTGGTGAGCGATGTCAGGTAGCGGAAGAGTCTTCCTCGATAGATCTGTCGGTCCTCTGCTCCTCTGCTTTTCTGATTCCTCAGAACTCGCTGAGTGTCGCGACTGTTTATGGTGTGAAGTTCGATGTGAGTTGTGATGCGATGAAGTTGATGTGTGCGATCTACTTCGCGATCGACTTTTGTCTCGCACATCCAGTCTTGTAAGAACTTGTAACGCCCCTCTCAGGGTTAAAGGATACGTTACACTAACTTACTACTTTTACAAATAAACTGTAATATAACGGCCGTCTATTTAAGAAAAATAGCCCTGATAAAATTTCAAAAGTAACTAATACAACTCCAGATAAAAATTTAATAAAATATAGTCACTATCAGCAAATGTGATAACCACCTGCATCCAGGAATTTACTGAACTTCAAATCCTTAAATAAAAAATAAAGTAATATTTATCACTTTATTATAACACTGAAATACTGAAAACAAAATAATATCTAGCTAGAAGCCGCCAAGGTCGTTCCCGTTAACTCATCTTGGCACGCGTTCCACTCTCTCATCATCTTCCTCGGCCTGGGCCTTACCCTTAGCTTTAGTATCTGTACATGCGAAAAAAGAAAACTGATAAGCTTTACGCTTAGTAAGTCACTATGGATCCACAAAAATATGTAGAAGTCTATGCCAATTTATCAATAGATAAATTTAGGCTATAAGCATGCACTGAACAAATAACTAACACACAACTTCTCAAATACATTCTGAGGAGATCTCAAAACAAGAATATTTTCTAAAATAATTTCTCAGTAATGCTGGAGAGATCTCAAAATTTCTTTCTCAAAACATCTTTGTAAAACTTTCTGAAAGAGATCTCAAAAACAACTTTTTGTAAAACTTTCTGAAAGAGATCTCAAAAAACAACCCTCTGTAAAACTTTCTGAAAGAGATCTCAAAAACAACTTTCTGTGAAACTTTCTAAAGGAGATCTCAAAAACAACTTGCTATAAAACTTTCTGAAAGAGATCTCATTAAACTTTCTGAAAGAGATCTCATTAAACTTTCTGTATAACTCTTTGTGGCTAATTTTACTCTGTGGGCCCGTGATATGTACTCAAAGGCGCCAATCCGACAGCTCAGGGGAGCGACCCACTAAACATATCGGACTCTCTGAAACTGATAACTGATAACTCTGTAACTCTGTGGGAACTTGTTCCCGAGTACATATCACTTAATCTTTCACTTTAAATATTAGTTCTTTTTATGGTGACGTTTGGATAAAAACATCGTCAAATCTGAAAATAAAAGTACTGACAAAATCTTCACTATGCCAGATAAAACATAACTCAATACAACAATTAAAATAACTCAGCAAATAACTCACCAAGTTCACATAATAGCGAATAGACTAAAATGATCTATTAAAATCAACCAGACTTCTTTCTTTTATTTGGTTGAACAAACATGTACAGGTGGTAGTGAACTTACCTGAAGAAGCTGAACTCAAATTACTCAAATAAGTGTGGCACCTTGATAACGTCTTCTGATAAGCTCTTCTTTTAATCTTTATTGAATATAATATTAAAATTAAAAGTCATTATGCTAAGTATAAAAACTGAAACCGATTGTACTGTAAACCAAAACTCTGAAACTTAAACTCTTATCATTCTGCTTAAAATTGCCGACCAGATAATTAGTTCAATGGTCTTTTTGTTATCATACCCAAAATTAGTCATCTGTAAAAGGAATCGTGGGAAATTTGAAACAGCTATCCATAATGGATATTTAAAAGTTGATTGCAATTTACTGTTTCAGAAACAGTAGGGTTAGAACCAATCTAAAAAAAACTTTGAGTTTATCTTTAACAAAATGTTAAGCAAAACCCAATCCCAATAACCAAAATTAACAAGGTCTGGAACAATACATAGGAACAGAGCAGAAGGTATTGCCCAATTTAAAACTTCAAACATATGTGATGTCTATAGTTCACAGTTTCACACGTGAACAAAGAAACTGCCCATTATTTAAAATAGGAGGAATCCCATCATTACAAAAGAAACAAACTAAATAGGAATTGTAGAAGTGACGTACCAGACTCTTGGTTCCTATAAGGGAGATGGAAACTTTTCGTATAGGACGAAAGAATACTGAGCAGCGGCTACTTGGAGGAGAAAATAGACATGGAAAGGTTTAAGGTTTACTACTGAAAGGACTTACTAACCGACATATAAATTCCCTTCTAGGGTTTTGGCTAAAAATACTGATTCGGGCTGAGATAACTGATTTGGGCTTCCGAATAACTCCCACAAAAAAATTCCTTTAACACATTAAAAGTATTTTCTACTCCTATTTCAAATAAACTCATTTTAGCTTTAAAATATTACATATTTAGTCACTTAAAATTATTAGAGCTTACCGGTCAACGTTACCTACCGGAACAACACATGAACAAACAATAAATCACATTATTCATAAAATAAACTTATTTAACTGACTAAATAAAAATAAATATTAATGTAACTAGATCGCTAAAATCAGGGTGTTACAGAACTTCAGACATCATCTTCTCCAATTGATCCAATCTCGATTCCATCTTTGCGCGCGTCTATTCCATCGACAACGATCCACCTCTCTGATACCAATGTTAGACACAGTCACAAATCAAAGCTAAAAACAGTAAACCAACTCACAGATCTGATGAACAAAGATGGAAATAGACGTTTATTGATGATATAGGGGTAAATCGTAGGGTACATGGACTTCTTAGGCAACAGGGACTCTCAAGGCAACAATATATCCAAAGATTTATACTAACTCTCTAATATTATTCTTATTCTCATTTGTTAGTATTCTAAGTAGGTCCCTAACATATTTTCACAAAAAGCGGTCCTTTGATCAGTCAATATTTTTTTTTTAAAGTTTGAAGTGTTATCGGCTTCACGCTAGAGATTGGGGTTATATTCCATTGATTCTTTCCACGCACCAGACAACACCACAGGTGAAGAAGCCGCAAGTTTGGAGTTCATCCAGACTTCTGTTCGACTAGAAATCTCCAACTCGCGTGTGAGCCGCACAATCTCTTTCAGATAGATACCAAGATCAAATGAAGGAAAATAGATGTTTATTAAGAACATGAA